GAAAGAGTGAACAGAACAGTGACACAGGTCCAGACGCTGGGGGAGAGAGGGATTGGAGACCAGATAGAGAGAAAGATCAGGACAAAGCTGGTTCAGGAGTAGGTAAGCAGTTAGGCAGTGACTGTGGAAGGACTTCGGAAGATAGTGGACAAGAATTATAGTAGAGAAACAGAGAGTAGGGTGAAGGGGGTCTTTGTAACAAATGGATGTAAGACCAAATCCTGGCTCTGCCATCTATTGGCTCTATAATCTTGGAAGCGGTATTTATCTCTCTGAACTTTGGTCTCCTCAATTTGGAAAATGGGGAAATTCCCATGCTCCGGAGTTGTGTTGAAAGGAGCTCTGTAGAAACCCTGTAAATAGTGTTTTTGCATTTCCCTTTCAGCTCTTGCTCAATCCTCTCTTCCCTTAGCTAGAGACAGCCGTGATGACGAAGCTCTTGATGGTGGAAGTCTACACATCCCAAAGTGATCCTTCCTTTTTTAGCCTTTTTACTATGGAGAATTTCAAATGTCTACAGAAAAAAAAAAAGACATAATGTATAATGAACCTCCATGTACATTACCCAGCTTCAAAAATTACAAGTCACGGCCCATTTTTTTCATCTACATCCACTCCCTGCTCTCTGTGTTATTTGATTTTTTGTTTGTTTTTTGTTTTATTTTAATTGATTTCAGGGAGGAAGGGAGAGGGAGAGAGAAACAGAAACATCCCGCATGCCCCACACCCAGGACCAAGCCTGCAACCCAGGCACATGCCCCAACTGGGAACTGAACCGTGACCTCCGGGTTCACAGGTCGATGCTCAACCACTGAGCCACGCTGGTCATTTTATCTGTAAACTAGTAGCCCATCCTGTGATATTGTGTGCAGTAGGCCATCTGCCGTTCCTGCGGGAGCCGGCAGGAACCACAGCACGCCGGCCAGGAGCCATGCTGCTTCCACAGGAGCTGTGTGCTTCCGCCGGAGGCGGAAGCAAGCCGCCTGTGCCCACGGGAGCTGGGAGGGAGCCACACTGCTTCTGCAGGAGGTGGGCCTGCCATTTCCTCTCTGAGCCTGCACTCGGCCATGGAGGCTGTGGGTCGCCCCCCCATCCCTGTCCGTGTCTGCTCTGGCTCTGGGGGGCTGGCCCAAGCTGGGGCATGGCGGCTCACCAGCCCCCTCTCTCTGTCTCCATCTCTGCTCCTGGCCTTACCTGCACACACAACCTCCTCCTGTCCGGTCATGACCCATTATGGCTCCCAGCCTAATTTGCATATTTCCTCTTTATATATATAGATATAGATGTTTCAGTATGTAGCTCTAAACAATAGGATTCTCTTTAAAAGAGAGAAAAAGATGATGCCCAGATAGCAGTGTGGTGCAAGCCAGAGGGAAAGTGGGAAGAAGGTGGTTAGGAGGGGTCAAAAGTGGGGGGGGGGGCGGGGGAATGAGGATGCAGAGACTTTGCTTGAGGCAATGGGCACAGGATGCAGTGTGCAGGTGATGTTTTGTTGAGTTGTACCCTTGGAGCCACTATGATTTTGTAAACCAGTGTCACCCCAATAAAGTCAATTAAAATAAATAAATAAAATGGTTAAAATAAAGTAAAAATAGGTGATACCATAACATACCTAAAATATTTGTTATTCCTTAATATTATTAAATACCCAGTGTGCTTGTTTCCAATGTCTTATACATTTTTTGTAGTTTACTTGAATTAGAATATAAATTATAGCCACAAAGTACAAGTTTTGTCTTTTAAATCTCTTAGTCTATTAGCTAACATGCTCTTCTGTTTTCTGCATTTTTTGTAAATTAGAGGATTCATCAGGTTCAGGTTGATTTTGTTGTTGTTGTTGTTCTATTATTATTACCTATGTCAGGAAGTTATATCAACCACATAAATAAACCAAGTAATTTTTCCAAACTGAACAATTCTTAGAAAAGGTCTGAACAAACCAACATATTAATCTTCCTTCCATGAAAACAGTAAATAGTTACTTCTGGAAAACTGCTATGTAAAAGGTGCGCAAAAATACTTAGTATTTATAGATAATAAAGAGTTAAGATTTATGCTCAGAAATTATAAACTGTTTTTCATCTGCACGAATCTCAGGCAAACCGTGTGATACAGGGGAAGATTCTTTGGCAACTGAGATTATCTGCCACATTGCAGAACTCTTGCATCTCTGGCTCCTTCCACTAAATGCCAGCACCAAATCTTAATGACTTCTATTAATGTCTCCTCATAGTGACAAAATGCGCCCTATGGTTCACTTCACCCCTGTTGCAAACCGTGTGCTTAGTTCAAGTAACAGGAAAAGAGGAAACTGGTTTTCGTTGCATATATGCTATAATTTGGGGGAAGGAAATAAGAAAAATATCCTGAATGGGGTATGGCTATTAAAACATTTACAAAGTTAAAGCTTTCCAAAGTGTTGCTCAGTTGACAGAATTTTGTTTGTCCAAACTATGCTGGAAAATGTGAATAGGCTCTCTGATAAAACACATGTGGTCATAATGACTTCATGCTAATATATGTAGTTCAAATACAGACATTTTAACAGCTAGGAGACCAGACAGAATTAGGGAAACTGGAATAGTGGCAAGAAATAAAAAAATTCATTTTCAGTTCTTTTCTAAGCATAAGTATAAATTTATAAATCTCTCATTACTTAATTTTTGCTTTTCTTTCTTTATATTTATTTAAATTATAGTTTACTATAAATCTCTTTATGCTATATGTACATAATTGGCCCATAACACTGATAAGAAATTGCACTTCATCTCTGAAGAGAAAGTATACCTTCCTCTAGCTTACTTGCCTCATTATGTGATACACTTCTTGTCTTTTGATTTATTAAAGTAGTTACTTTGTTCATTGTTAGTTGTATTTAAATACTATTTATAGTTCTAAGATGGAAGTCATTTTCTAATCTAAATTGGAAGATATTTTATCATTATTCCTTGAAGTAGGAATAGTTTATTTATAATACCTTGCCTTTTCCTGGTATGTAGTAGATTCTCATTTAAATATTTAAATTAACTTACCCATCCAGTAATCATTATCATATATCATATCATTGTGTGCAATGATGTACTTTTGTATGTGTTAATTTTATTCTCATGCCTTGTTATCAGAAACATTAAGTATAGATCTTTTACTCAAAGTGGAATCTATACTAAGTGATTTATTTTAAATCATACTGCTGACATAACTAGGAGAAGAATTTATGTCTCCTGGCTTCAATTTCACTATTTCTACCAGTAGGTTTCTTTTTGCCTTAAAAGTATATGTTTTCTGTTTCTGCTTCCTGGCTGTTTCCGTGTGTCAAAACAAAACAAAAAAAAAAACAATACAAGAATTGTTTAAAATCAACATTCAAAAACAGTGATTAACTTTCCAATGTTTATTGCATACTAGTTTTGACCCTCAGAAATCCAAAATAGGATATTAAACATCCCAGTGACAAAGTTTGTCCGGTGGGAGATCTGGTTCCCCTAAAAGCAAGTTCCCTTATTTCATCTCTGCGAACGACAAAGCAGGTGCAGCATCAACGTAGTCATTGTTTAGAGACTGGAAATTTGTAACTATGGAGACATTACCTCACAGTGTTCTGACAGGCTGCGCTGGCCAGATGTGAGAACTGTAGTCATAAAGATAGCTATGCTGGGTTACCACCCTGCCCATGAGCTGCTTCGAGTGAATGCTTCACACCTTCACCTTGATTTGTCTGACAGCCTTAGCCAATAGCAGTATTGGCTATGCCAGGACTTAAATATTCCCATTAGAATCCTGGTCCTGGCATCAGCATGGTAGAGAAATCATTAAGCCTGGCAAGTGCTTTAAGGTAGTTGGATTAACAGATGAGGTCACTTGACATAGAAAACCTGGCAGAACCTCAGCTATAGTCGTGGCCTAATGTCATGATCTGTTTTCCCAGGAAAGAAGAGACTCTTCTTCTGGCCAAGACAAAAGACACACAAGCCACTCAAGAAACATCGACAGCTCTGCAGAGTCAAGTTCCTGAGCAGGAAGATAAAATGGAGAAAGACACCTCGTAAGAATGGCACAAAGGAGAGGAGGGAAGGGGCCGAGTGTTAGAGGATAGCGATGGAGCACTTGGCCTCTTGTTTTAAGACATCTAATAAAGTAGTTAGGACTGGAATTGATTCCACACGTTTCCTAAGATTAACCATAACATGCAGTATTTCCCACCCACTGTTTTATAAGGTTGAGTCCTTGAGGAATCTAAAAATATACCTGGACAGACGTCCATCATATCAGACCTGGTTGAGGTTCCAAAGCTCATATCTAACACGTTAAAACAATTGGCAGATAATTTCCTTAGAATCTCTTTACTGATCCAGGGACAAAGAATTACCAAAGAATTTTGGTTTAGGAAATGCCTGTGAGGATATGAAATAAAAATTACAGCTCCCTATTGTGACCACTAATGTAAATCATTCTATCAACTGAAGCATTAGCATTGATTTTCCAATGTTTTCTACCAAAAAAAAAACAAACAGTGACCCATTGTATTTAATATACACAATTTAATGCCAATGTTACTTTGGACCGAGATGTCCTGTGTTTATTGCTCGGTTCAAGTTTATTTTTAAAATATTTTATATATTTAAATAAACAGTTTAAAGCACTTCTCAGGTGAACTGTGCATGGCTGTTGTCAGTATTACCAGTGCAACATCTCCCAAAATCATACTGAAATGCTGGCATTGAACTTTTGTAACTGCCTCTGGTTTAGTGCTAATCAGTTACAGAGGAGCAAAAAACCAAGAAGGGGGTTGGAATATTTCGCATGCAAAAGCAGTAAGGGAGGCTAACTAAGCACTCGGATAAACCTCTCATCTTCCAAGAAGTCTGCTCGGTCTGTGAGTGCAGGGTTTTCAGACAATGGGCTGCATCACGCACATCTCTGCCTGAAATATTTCAGCTCTTCCAAAAGTGTATGCAGCCAGTAGACGTTTCTTATTCAAATAGAAAAAAAACACCCTGTGGTCCTAGGGCAGATTTCTTTGATTGCAACCTTTGCCAAGGCTTATTGGGAATCTTTCGTGGAATTAAATTTATGTGGGAGCACTATTGTTTTACTGGAGGAAAATAAATACAGAGCTTATAAGATGAACATGCTGAAAGATATAGCCAGCTTGTCTGTAATGAAACCCAGATGTGAGGAACTTGGAAAGAGAGAAGTACTTTTCCTGCTTATTCTAGCCAGTGTGAGGAGAAGTCATGTCGTAAGGGCCTGTTTCAGGTTGGACAGAGATGGGATGTTTGTAATTTGACAACTGATCTCTATAGTCTCCACCCACAGTCAAACTCGAGTGTATCGTCATGGGTTTGAGCTTTTCAGACAAAGATGAGTGCTCGGGTTGTCAGCAGAATGGCACTGCTCAAGCTTAAGAAGTACTGGGCCAGGAATAATACAATTTTTAAAGCCGATGCCTTCAATTATAAAAAATAATAATAATTTGCCTGAGATGCCTGTGCCTTCTGAGAGGCACAGAGTTAGGGAAGTCTGCTTTTGAGAAACACTCTCCAGATTAATATTTCTGATGAAGGAACTTACAAATTATAAAACAAAAGGATTATGCATACCTGTTGGTAAACAGAGATATTGAGACTGACGTCAGCAAGATGGCAGATTAGGAAGCTCCAGGCCCTTGTACCCTTTTGGAAACATTAAACACACACACACACACACACACACACACACACACACCACTCACACACACACACACACACACACACACACGGCTTTTAGTTTATTGAGGAGAGTCTCAATGGGACACATAAAATGGGGTTGTCATAAACCTTTTCATGAGTCATGCCAGGAGATACTGTTTTACTAGTACTTGTAAAATAATTGTACTTTAAAAAATGTGTGTTAAGAAATGCTTTTATATTTATGAAAAAGAAAGAAAGGAAAAGCTTTGTTCATAGTAATGTTTGCTTATAAAAATAGTACCTGGAAATTAAGTCTTTCTTTTCCTGCTATTCCCTTTAACATTCACACACACGCGCACGCACACACACACACACAAACTACACACACAGACATACACATATACATATATACACGTGTGCTGTATTTATGGCTATTAATATTCATAGAGTATTTGAAAGTAAACATTAACTATAGAATCTTAATATAGGAAAATTAATTCAACAGCAGAAGTCAAAAGAAAAGGATATAGTAAGCAATATATTAAACAAGAATTATAATATTTTTATGTCAGTAGAAAAGGGAACTAGGATATAATGAGTGATAAATGTGGGATACAAATGGTTTATAGAGTCTCAATTATGTGTAAAAAGATGCATTAAAAAGCCTAAAATTCTTTTTTAAAAATATATCTTATTGATTTTTTACAGAGAGGAAGGGAGAGGAATAGAGAGTTAGAAACATCGATGAGAGAGAAACATCGATCAGCTGCTTCCTACACACTCCCTACTAGGGATGTGCCCGCAACCAAGGTACATGACCTTGGCCAGAATCGAACCTGGGACCCTTGAGTCCGCAGGCTAATGCTCTATCCACTGAGCCAAACCAGTTAGGGCCAACCTACAATTCTTGGGTGATTTTTATTTTCTTTCTATTTTTACACTTTTAAAAAACCATCTATAGTGGGAATTTAGTGATTCTTACATTTAAAAAAAATGAGAAAATTTCTTAACTTGACACTAAAGTGTTCTATTTAGGTTGTTAACACTAGAGCTATAAGATGTTCTTGTGCTTATTTTAGATGCATTATACCTTTGAAAACCAGAACTCTGGGTAATAATGATAGTTTATGCTTCTTGTGTTCATGGTCTATTCATTTTGACTTGCTTACTTTGTTTATTATACTCATTTGTGTCCACAGAAGAGAAACTACATATGGCAACCTCTCAAGGGTACACCACTCTTCAGTACGTTTCCCAAGTACTGAAAATTCCTATAGCACAGCACAGCCATTTTCACTGTCATCAACCAGTGAAACACCTCTCTGTTGCTATCTTTCTAACTTTGAGATTACTGGAATGGCTATAGCAAGGGGATCAAAGTCTTCTAAATCAGTTACAGGGGACCAATCAGAAAGCACCTTGGGTAAGTAAAGCCTGTACTGATTATTTTTAGGCTATTTTTAAATTATATAGTTCAATAAATTTTCTATGTGTCTAGAAACCAGAATGATGTTTTATTATCTGTGTTCAACAATGCTAATTTGTTAATGTCATATGACTATGCTCACTATTGATCCTCACACTGGAGTCATATTCCAGTTCCATAAATATACGTGGCCAAATATATCATCCTCATGATTAAAATATTGAGATAACCAACTTACACCATACACAAAAATAAACTCAAAATGGATAAAGGACTTAAACATAAGACGGGAAACCATAAAAATATTAGAGAAATCCACAGGCAGCAAAATCTCAGACATATGCCGAAGCAATTTCTTCACTGATACAGTTCCTAGGGCAATGGAAACTAAAGAGAAAATAAATGGGACTACATTAAAATAAAAAGCTTTGCACAGCCAAACAACAAGAAAGCCCAATGCATGTGAGAACATATTTACCATTTCAGGGGCAGGAGCCTTACTGGTTATTTTCTTTCCTTGGATACGCACAGGGTCCTGGCCCCCCACGTCAACAGTGTGGTGGAGAGAGGAGCCAGGTGAGGCCAGGGTCCCCTCACCTGGAATTTAGATTCTCCAAAGAGCACCAGACAAAGCGACCACAAAACACAGTAGCAGGCTCTGACCGCTGGGTGCTGGCAGGGTCACTCAGCTCACCCAGGAAAGCTGGTCCCGCAGGACCGCCAGAGACCTGAGATGTCCCAACAACGGGAGTAAAAGTGTCACTTGCAGGATCACTGTGGACCTGGGGGCGGCAGTGAATGAGGAAAATGGAATTAACTCTAATAAAAATGTGTAAGAAAAAAATGAGTGACCTTCATTCTATTTCTGACCCTTCACGTCCCCATTGGCAGAACCCACATCCCGTCCTCTCCCCTTTCCTAGGGAGGACCAAGTTCCAGACCTTGCCATTCTCCTCCCTCCCATTTATTTGTTCAAAACAGGGATGGCTCTCCAATATATGAAAAGATGGTGGGGGTAAGGGGGAGAGAATAAACAAAGGACTTGTATGCATGCATATAAGCCTAACCAATGGACACAGACACCAGAGGAGTGAGGGCATGAGTGGGGGTGGGGGTGGGGAGAGACAATGGGGCAATAAGGACACATATGTAATACCTTAGTCAAAAAAAATTAAAATACCTTGAGTTCGCATAATGGTTCCTAGGTTGACTGCTTGTATGTTCTAGAATTGCTAGATAATGAAAAAATTCTAATGCATAACATGGCCTGCCCTTCCTCTTAATGCTACCAGAAAGATTAAGTAATGTCTTGGGTATTTTGTGCCTTTAGGAGATTTAGGACTTTGGTAAGGAAAAGACAGATAGGTAAGAGAAAGAAGAAAAATAAAGTAGGTAAAATGGTGGAGAGAAAAGGAAAAAGCAATAAAGCATTTGGAGGAGAGGAAAATAAGAACAGGACTATGATAGGAAGAAGTAAAGTTGTAACAGTTGCCAACAACGCACTCAGCAATTGCAGGCTGCGGGATGTTTGTTCCTCACCATGTACAGGAAACTTTGAGGGTGTGTTCTAGTTTCCTAGAAAGACGGCTGAACTTGGGAACAGAAGACCAAGGTCCAAACTACCCCTCTACTCCCTACAGTGTGAAACATTGGGCATTTAGCATCTCTGAGTCCCATTTTCCACAACAGCAAAAATAGGGATTAAAATATCAACTTAACAGGGCTATCCTAAGGATGACTAAAGGAGATATGAAGGATTTATGAAAATCATCTAGCACATAGTAGGTACTCAATAAAAATCAGTTGTGAATCTGAACCTATCTCTAAGCACCTTCTCATAAAATGGGCTAGATTGGGGCCTATATTTCCATTACTCATCTATTAACAAGTTTTAAAACTGGAAACACAAACACACTGATTCTCTAATGCCTCCATTTCCCTCTACCATTCTGTGCGCATTTACAGCCTGGCTGCTGCTTATCTATGTTTGATTTTGTTTGTGGTATTTGCCTACGCCTTTGACACAGAGGTAGCTAGGGTTTTGACCTACTGCCATTGTTGTCATATTCCCTGTACTTCATTGTTTGCACACCTCAGGTACATTTTTTCAAAGAAGCCTCCTAAGTTCACACTGACCTTTAGCAATAACCAGATCCATATGTGTAAAAGTGAAAGTACAGGTTTAGATCTAGGGAGGGAATATTTTCTGTCCTTTAGCACTGTATCATCATGACGTGTGTTCTATATTTGGGTCAAACTGGGAAAGCTCCCACTATTAGTGGGGGAAAAAAACAAAAAATATAGTGGCTTCCCCTTGCAAGATGAGCACTGAGCTAGGAAGTAGGCTTCTCCTTCAGTTACTGTAGGTTCTACTGCTATTGGTAGAAGTCTGAGTTTGCTGCGACTTGTTGCATTTGGTTCATTTCCATCTGTTTCTCCTGATGAAATAATGACTGGGACTAAAAATTAATGCATCTTCTTTCCTTTCAGAATACAAAGGTTCTCCCCCTTACCCCAAGATGAGCTATTCAAAGGGCTGCTATATATTCTCTATTCCCAAAGGAATTTTAAAAAATTAAGTAAATACTTGACTGAGAATAAACACATTTAATTCCAAACATTTCTTCTGAACAAACTACTTTGAGGAATCCTCTTTAGAAACTATGAGTTTAAACCTTTCCCGCTTTCACCTCACTTTGGTTTTGTTAAAGATACACAAATATAAATTGAACTCTAGATTGTGTTAATTTGTTGATAATTTTGGACCCAGGGTCACAATAATAACTAGCATTTATTGAGTACCAGCTAAATACCAGATATTGCTAGACACTTATCTACATTACCTTCAATTCTCACATCACCCTAACAAGGTAGTAGTAGTTTTCATTTTTATGTTCATGAAAACTGAGAATTGGAAAGTCTAACTCAGTTGGCTTAATAAGTGACAGATCGGGGATTCAATTCAGGTCCTTTTAAATCCAGGACATATTCGTCTGTCCACTTTGTCATCATGCCTCTCTGTACTGTTACTTTCCCTTGGAACTTACATTATTAGATGTACTCTGCACGGTTCTTTCTCTGCAAAATTACAAAGGCTGTTTTGTGTTTGAATCTTAGTGTGAGGATTTTAAAGGAGCTTATTTCCAAGAGGGCACTAGAATCTGAGTGAGCATTACTTTATCTGTCTAATCAAGTATTTTAGTTGATGAGAGGACACATATCTTTATCCGGCAAAATTACTAACCATTAGTAGGAAAGGACTCATTTGAAGATTTAATTTATGGGTATGATTTGGAAGAATAAAGATGTACTTATATATGACATATCCAAATTTGAGATACTCAAATGTCTTACCTACTCAAAAATTTATGATGCTTCTGGTACAAGTAACTAATCTGTTGAATAGTCATTATGTTGATGATGTAATTGGTAGTTTAAACAGGGGTGGGCAAACTTTTTGACTCGAGGGCCACAATGGGTTCTTAAACTGGACCGGAGGGCCGGAACAAAAGCACGGATGGAGTGTTTGTGTGAACTAATATAAATTCAAAGTAAACATCATTACATAAAAGGGTACGGTCTTTTTTTTTTAGTTTTATTCATTTCAAACGGGCCGGATCCAGCCCGCGGGCCGTAGTTTGCCCACAGCTGGTTTAAAACCATCTCTAGGAATTGAGTATCCCTAAAAACAGTCTCTTCCTGGTTATTTTGTAGCCTTTGGTTTAAAGTTTTTAATTATCTTTAATCTTCATTTAGATTGACAGTGACAGTAAAATGTATAAAGAATATAGTTTTGTAGAAGCAAAGAATAAAGATAGTGACTTTGGGTTCTTTCACTATCCTGTTATTTACTTCTCTCTTTGTTGCTTCTCGTTGGTTTAGAAAAAGTCAGCAGCTTCATAGCTCCAAAGAAAAAGACTCCGCTCATCCCTCCCTCAGAGCCAGCTGTGATAGGGGAAGGGGAGGATTACTTCCTGTCTTTGTTTGATGATTCAAAGAAACCTATTGCACACTCATTCAATACCAAGAAAATTTGGAAGCACTTTTCTATGATTCTTGAAGAAGTGGGCTCATCTAGATCCAGGTACATATTCTATTTTAATTATTTTATATCTTCTATTGGGATAGGAGTAATAAGTCAGTAGGAAGCAAAGTTTTAATCTGTTGTGCTGTGCCATGATTTCATCTAAGAAATTAGATACAATATAATTGTTTCATGTGATGAGCAATTAAAAGAAATCAATATAACTTTCTAAGAAACTGAATAACGAATGTCAGTTCTTCAAAGATGCTAGAGGAAACAGCAATACATAATCCCTACAAACAAAGTCAACTCAATTACTGTAATCAAGGACTTTATTATTGGCAAGTAATTCAGGTGGACTTGGTATCTTTTTTCCTTCTACTAGGTTCTTGAGTTCAATACAGAAAGAGAAATGTAGACTTTTTATATTGAATTTATTGGGGTGACATTGGTTAATATAATTATATAGGTTTCAGGTATATAGTTCTATAATTCAACATCTGCATATTATAGTGTGTTCATCACCCAAAGTCAAGTCTCCTTCCATCACTGTTTATTTACCTCTCCCAACCTCCTTCCCCTCTTATAATCACCACTAGAGGCCCGGTGCACAACATTTGTGCACTGGGGGGGTGGGGAATCCCTCAGCCCAGCCTGTGCCCTTTTGCAGTCTGGGACCCCGCAGGGAGTGGGCCTAAGCCGGCAGGCAGACATCCCCCCAGGGGTCCTTAACGCTGCCACAGAGGTGAGAGAGGCTCCCATCACCGTCCCTGTGCTTGCCAGCCATGAGCCCAGCTTCTGGCTGAGTGGTGCTCCCCCTGTGGGAGCACACTGACCACCAGGGGGCAACTGCTGCATTGAGTATTTGCCCCCTGGTGGTCAGTGCATGTCATAGAGACGGATTGTTCCACCGTTAGTCAATTTGCATATAGCCTTTTATTATATAGGATACTGTTGTCTATGTCTATGAGGTATTTTTCTTTGCTTAATCTCTTCCCCTTTTTCACCCAGCCCGCAACCCCCTTTCTAACAATTGTCAGTCTGTTCTCTGTATCTATGAGTGTGTTTCTATTTTGTTTGTTGGTTTATTTTGCAATAAAAAACAAACAATCCAATCAAGAAATGGCAAAGGATTTAAACAGACACCTCTTCAAAGAGGACATATATGGCCAATAGACATATGAAAAGATGCTCAATGTCACTAATCATCAGAGACATGCAAATTAAAACCACAATGAGACATCACTTTTACTATCTGAATGGCTGTCATCAGTAAAGCAACAAGTGTTGGTGAGGATGTGGAGAAAAGTAAACCCCTGTGCACTGTTGGAGGGAATGCATATTGGTGCAGCCACTGTGGAAAGCAGTATGAACTTACCTCAAAAAAAAAATTAAACATGGAACTGCCTCATGACCTAGTGATTCCACTTCTGGGTATATAGTCAAGGAAACACAAAACACGAATTTGAAAGAACATGTGCACCCCTAATGTTCATTGCGGCATTATTTACAATAGCCAAGATATGGAAGCAACCAAGTGCCCATCAATAGACAAGTAGATAAAAAAATTGCGGTACATATATACAATGGACAAAATCCATTTAATTCACTCATATGTGGAATTTAAAGAACAAAAACAAAGTAGAAACATTGACTGATAGATACAGAGATCAGATTGATGGTTGCCAAGGAGAGGGATGGGGAGGTTGGCTGAAAAAGGATTTGGAAGCACCAATTGGTAGTTAACAAAGTTGTGGCGGGGATGGGAAGCACAGCATAGGGAATATAGTCAATAATATTGTAATAACTATGGGTGATGCCAGTTGGGTGCCAGAAATATCAGGGGGACTACTTTGTAATCAACATATTGTGTGGATTAGTAGTTGTATATGATTGTCTAACCACTATGCTATACACCTGAAACTAATACAATGTAATATTGAATGTCCACTGTAATTTAAAAAAATTGTAGACATAGATATAATCTTTAAAAAGTGCCTGGCACATAGTAAGTATTGGTTATTATAATTGGTAGGGGTATATTTCATTTTTTAAATGATGTCTCTAACCCACCAAAGGGATTGTGACCCACACTCTAAGAAACACTAATTTATAAATTTCAGCCTGATCCCTGGTACATATTAAGCCCTTAAAATGTTAGTAAGAAAAAATACCATCTTATCTCCGTAAAATATTTTGTTTGCTGAATTCTTTTAAGAATACAGTTGCTAGTCATCTTCATAGTAACTTTATCAGAAATAAACTAAAATATTTAACTTTCCTCTTGATGTATTTCAGTTTCGTGTCTCAGTGGTTTTCTGAACAGTAGGATTTAACTAATGATAATTGCACCTTCCTATGGCACTTATACCTCGACACCTAAAGCACCTATTAAGTTTTATTTATTTTATGGGAAAGAGATGATTTTATTGCACAGATAAGCAAACAGAACTAAGAGATCAAGGCATTTGCTATGGAAATACACTATCTCCACATAGAATGTGTCCAATACTGTAGACAGTTTAGGAATAACTTCCAAAGCATATTTATTACTCAGCTCTTGAAGTGAACTAAAGACACGCTTACCTGGATGCACCTTATAATCTTTATATTTTTCTAGTGCTTTTGGAGACATTAAAATAGCAGAAGTGAATGATTTATTTGTGAAGCTCATTAACTCTTCCCTTAACAAAGAACTGGAGATTGGAAATCACATTCTCCAGCAAAATATGAATGGAAAACCAGACTCTCTGTACCATTTCCCTCCCAATATCACAATTCATGCCAATTCCACAGTAACAGTGAGTATAAGATATCAATACTACAAACTAAAATTGTACAGGAAAATCTCACTTACCCAGGTCAGATTGCGGCTCAGCACCAGTGGTTTCTTCATCACTTGCTCTCTATGTAAAATGGGGTGTATTGTTGGTGGTGGCCCATTGAGCCACTTTGTTCATCTCTGTGTGTAAGTTAATTAATACCCATAGTTAAAATAATTCCATAGCTTTCTTCAATTTGTTGTAGAATACCTTGTGCTTTTATGACTTAACTATTAAAATGAAATCCCTAAGTTCCTAAAATTAAGCAAACATAATCCTTAAAAGAAAAGTTAAGAGAGTGTTTGCTTAGACAACAGAAAACTAGTTGATACTGAAGGGTTTTTCCTCTTTCTTGTGCGCTCCTTTAAGCCACATACAGTGTTGCACAGCGTGGCATTAGATATTATAAACTCATTATATGTTAAGATCGCATATGTTGAGAAAGATAACATTGCAATCACCCTCTGACATTTACAGAACTGTTGAACTCCAGTGGCATTTTAAATTAACAAACTATTTTCTTACAGGTCTGGACAGCAGCATCTGACAGAAAGCATCAGCCACCATCAGATTTTCTTTGGAAGGAAAAAGACAAGTTTACAACAAGCCCAAATTGTACAACCATCCTGTGCAAACCTAATGGTGAGGTCAGTATCTGGTTATTAGCAACGTTTTTTTAAATGGATAGCCTCCTTATGTTCTCCTCTCCTTAGCTCGCTCAATTATCTTTCCTTCCTTAAATTTTGGATAGAACCATCACTGACTGTCATAAAAAATCAGCAAATCAACAGCACCCTCTTCCCAGTGCTAATGTGCCAAAGAACTGCTTATATTTGGCAAAAAGAATTTTGATATCCCAAATTTGAAGCTACTTCAGATTTCAGAGTTAAGGATGGATTTTATTTATGGTATTTACCATGAAGAGCAGGATAAGAAAGGAAGAAACTCTGTACAGGCCCTTTCTATCCATGTATGTATTTTTCAAATGTTTGTTGAGATTTTTCTCTGTTCTAAGGGTTGCAATACCACAGGACATCTGCTCTCAAGAACTAGAATTCTAATGAAATAAACTACAATCTAATTTGTCTAACTATACTATATTCACTATAAAATTATGTGTATTAGTAATAGGTTAGTAACCAATTCTGAATGTTTGACAATTTTATATTTTCACTCTTTTTCCTTGGTATAATATTAGCATAAATACATACCCAAGGACTAACAGTAAAGTAAGGTATCTTTTTTTACAAAAAAAAAATCTTACTGCTCTTATAAAACTACTAGAGGCCTGGTGCACCAGTGGGGTCCCTCAGCCTGGCCTGTGGGATCGGACCGAAACTGGCTCTCCGACATCCCCTGAGGGGTCCCAGATTATGAGAGGGTGCAGGCCAGGTTGAGGGACTCCACCAGTGCATGACTGGGGCCTGGAGGAATGCAGGAGGTTCCTGGCCAGCTGGAGAGGGACCACAGGAAGGCTCCAGGGCATGTCTGGCCCATCTTGCTCAGTCCCGATCAGCTGGACTGCAGCAGCAAGCTAACCTACTGGTCAGAGCATCTGCCCCCTGGTGGTCAGTGCACATCATAGCAACTGGTCAACTGGTCGACTGTCTGCCCCCTGGTGATCAGTGCACATCATAGCGAGCAGTTGAGCGGACACTTAGCATATTAGGCTTTTATTATATAGGATTCTTTAGATTTTAAAAAAATACCTGCCTTTTTTTCTTAGCCCCAGTCTAGCTTACTATGTCATACAACTACTAATCTACACAATATGTTGATTAAAACCTATTTCTGAGTTTCTTCTTGCTAGATTATACCTGATGACATAGACTTGCTCATTTATTAAGAGTCATTTAGCCATTTGCCACAACTTCTTGCAGCAAGGATTCAAGATCTAGAAAAGGGGCCATGCACAAACGAATACACTAGACAAGAAATATGAATTTAGAAGACATGGGGGGTGGGTAGGCTGGAAACCTCCCTCTAGCAGGGAAGCTCTCTGACTTTTCAGTCCCTCTTGCTTTTATTCACTTGAATACACATTTGCCCTTTAGGAATGCAAACAGGCATATCAAAGGTGAAGTTTGGTAAATAGTAAAAGGATTATCAGGTTAGGGAATTGCCTTCAATCATTTTGCCAACAGCAGGGCAATATTGCTGATTTTCAGCCCTGCTAAATATCGCATTAATATGCTAACTACTTGTCTTAGCCTCCAGCAGGGCTTGGAAAATTAAATGGCTTGCTCAAGGTCACATGATTGGTAAAATGGCAAAACTAAAATAAAACCAGATATTCCAACTCCAAGAATTTTTCTATTGCACTAAAAATAACCTACAGGGTTCATATAGCCAACATTCCAGTGATGTAATTATTTTATTTTATCACATTAATAGAGGCCCGATGCATAAAATTTGTGCAAGGGGCTCAGCCCTTGCAGCCACAGCTGCCTCAGCCCTTGCAGCCCCAGCTTCATCCAGAAAGTTATCCGGACAGTCATTCTGCTGTCCGATCTAACTAGCATATTAGTATTAGCTCTTTATTTTATAGAATTATTGTCATCAAATATTTTTAAGTCCCTATGGTATAGAGAGAAATAAAATATTGCTCTTGTCAAAAAAATCTTATAATCTAATTGAGGGAGATTGCACTAAAACAAAATCATAATGTATTTTCAACAAAAATGTCTGTGAGCTACTAAAAGAGGAGAATCCCTAATTGATTACCTGAAGCAAAAGTGGAGTTTTCCTGTTGTGATCCATGAAATTGAACTTTTTAGAAAAGATTTTATCTTTTTCTTTCTCTGCCATTGGCCTAACCTACCTGAATTTGCCTGACATTGCCTTTATGTCTAGTTAATTTTCCAATCCAATCAGTGAAATCTGCTCAATCCAATCAGTTTTTCAATGGTAACAGCATAAGCCAAAACTTCTAATTTAATGAACTAAAAACAGATTAAAAGAACAAGTAACTATTAGGGCACACTTCAGTATTTCATTTTCTCACATTGAACACAGACATAATTATTAGTCCCTACATATGATTTTCCTGAAAAAATTTGCACATATATGTGTTATAGGTATCACATATTCAAGAAACCAAAACAAACTCCAGCTTTAGTAGTCATAGGTCCCCTAAATAGTCTCACTTAGTATCTAGTCTGGAGAATGTGGTATCCTCTCTTGTCTCTGGCTCTGGTTCTACTGCTCATTTTCCCATCTCAAATTATAGTCTTAAATATTTAGGATTTTGACTTATTAATATTACTAGAGACCCAGTGCACAAATTTGTGCATGGGTGGGGTTTCTCAGCCTGGCTGGTGATTGGGGCCAATTGGGGCCATCTCACCCAGTCCTGATAGGGGCCGATTATCGGGGCCAGCCGGCCAGGGGTAGGGACCGTGGGAGGTTGGATGGCAGTGGGAGCACACTGACCACCAGGGGGGCAGCCCTTCACTGAGAGTCTGCCCCCTGGTGGTCAGTGCGTGTCATAGTGACCGGTCAACCAGTTGTTCTGTTGTAACAGTCGTTTAGGCTTTTATATATATATTGATAACTACTTTTTACTTAGTATTTTAACTAAATCTCAGAACACCCTCTATAGCAGTTCCCTACTACTAGCCTCCTTATTTTGTGCCGGAGGACTCAGGTAACATAACAAGTAACTACCTGGCCTGAGGATATACAACTTGTGATTTTCAGAATTGGAAACTAAGGCCAGGATGTCTTGCTACATTCTTAGGATATTTCACTAGTCCATGCACAATAGGTAAGTGACATTATACCGTTTGGCTTTGAAATTTTATTGCAATAAGCCCATGTCATTTTGAAAAAAAAACTCTAACTCCTGCCCAACCGGCATGGCTCAGTGGTTGAACATCGACTTATGAACTAGGAGGCTGGATTCCTGGTCAGGGCACATGCCTGAGTTTTGGGCTCAATCCCCAGTAGGGGGGCGAGCAGGAAGAAGCCGATCAATGATTCTCTCTCCTCATTAATGTTTCTCCCTCTTCCTTCCTCTCTGAAATCAATAAAAAATATATATTTTTAAATCTAACTCCCATAGTATTTGATATTAATGAATCATTTCTGTTAGGCCATTGCCTGGTGCACTCCTATTCACTGGAAGCAAGCATGGGAGAAATTAGAGACTGACATTGAATTTCAGAGAAGCTCATTAGTAAATGCAACACCTCAAAAGCACATGTTTCATTGGCCAAAAGCTACAACTACAGCTAAAGAAAAACTTAATCAACCTGATACTGATATCTCAAGCTACCAGATGGAAGTAGTTCCAGTTTTTCTTAAGAGGTAAAAGTTGCTCTTCGTGTGTGTGTGTGTGTATGTGTGTGTGTGTGTGTTGTTTATTTGTTTAATTGAGCCCTTCCCACAATTGGTAACTGAGCAGGGAGGAATAACTGAGTCATAACTAAATATATGATGAATAGGTAAATCAATAATGTCCAAAAAATTATTGAAAAGGACCATAAAACCCATAATAGTTATAAAACATAAAAACACTCATGATACAGCCTTAGCTGGTTTGGCTCAGTGGATAGAGCATCCGCCTGTACACTGAAGGGCCCTGGGTTCAATTCTGGTCAAGGGCGCATGTCCAGGTTGCAGGTGTGATCCCCAGTTGGGGACGTGCAGGAGGCAACCGATCAATCATTCTCTCTCATCATTGATGTTTCTATCTCTTTCTCCTTCTCCCCTCCTCTCTACACTCAATAAAAATATATTTTAAAAAACAAACAAAACACTCATGGTACAACAAAAGCTGGCAATTTCCCACAGGCAATGAAGACCTGCCCCTCCTACCCCCTGCCCCCACCACTCTGGCCATTTCACTTCTTGATGGCACTGCTGTTAGAGGCAGAGCTGTGAAGGGGTGAAGAGATGAAGTTATCACCACATCTTTAGCAGTGCAGAGGCAAAGGGAGAAGTGCCACATCTGGTAGCTTTATCTTGGGTCAAGAGCTGGCTGTGACTGAAGGTGCAGATTTTACTCACTTGTGGGCAAATGCTTCTGAGGTTGTGATGAAAGTGCTGCCCACAAGGTCTAGAAAAGTTGTATTGTCTTGTCTTAAAACATGTCTGTCTTTAGTTGAGCTTTCTTTACTAATAAAGTCACTGCATACAATGCCTTTTTAGTTCAATTTGGGTTTAATTTTCCTTTTACAGAGAAAAAGAAATCCCACCAACTCTTTTCATGAATCGGAGCCCTTGGTGCCACAGTCCCAATAACCCTGTACATCCCCACTGTCCTCACATTGAACCTCACAATCCCAGCATGGATAGAAGCCATTTAAAAAGTCTTCCCAGGCCTCAGTCAGCCATGCCTAATCCTAATGCAGCCCTGGTAAGTCAAATGGATACTTATTCCAGCCGAGAATAAGAGGTGTGTGTGCGTGTGTGTGTGTGTGTGTGTGTGTGTGTGTGTGTGTAGAACTGGTAAAAAGGGGTTAAGTTGTAAAATACACTAAGTATTAAAAATAAGTCATATCCTCAAACACAGTTGGCTTCTGAAGGAAATATTGTAAACCGCTTACAATATCATGCATAAATATTTATATTTTATCTAAATAATTGCGCTGTAACAAACTTTGTGTTAGTCAAACGTTTGAAACTGTCATAGTTGGGGCTCTTCTTTTCTCCCCATAGCAGTTTTCCCCTGGTGTAAAATGTCCTAAAGTAACTTTATTGTTGGAGGCAAGGTGGACAGGGGACTGAAATCTCAATTGTTCCTACTTTGTGTTCCTCTCCCAGCTCCATCTCTTTCC